GTTCCTGTTTTATCATCAACTTTAATTTGAAGTTTCGCAAGCCGAAGCTCCGACAAGACCCTTACCGATGGTGGGACGTTCTTGTAAAAAGGACCCAAAATTTCGGGGATTATTGTAATGGTCCACCACTCTTTCATGATATAAGCGCCGCAACTTGCCTCGACTCACTGATAATCGTTGCCCTAGCCCCAAAATTCAATTTCCGACTTGCCTCAACATCTTTGTTATTTGCCCTAATTGAATGAATTAGGGAATTGAAGTGATAATGTCTGCATCTCCTAAAAGGAGACCGTCCACTTCGCCAGCATACTCTCCGGCGACGACACTCATTTTGCGGGCAATGACTCCATCATAAGACTGCTCCGTTTGAACAAATTAAGGTGAATTTAGAAAGGAAAAAAAAGGAAAAAAATTAATTTTGATGGTTTCACGCGCTCAAATATGAATAAAAGCACGCACTTAGCCATGTCAGCGTGAGGGGTTCACGAGGTCACATTTCTGTAGAGAAAAAGTGTCTAATTGGTAATAAGGCCAATAGAGGTGTTCATTTGATCGTTGTGGACAACTTAGAGGGGTCGTTTATGTATTTCGCCTCTTCAAAATGAAGACTGCAAACCAAACTAGTAAAGGCAGAATATTACATTACTATAACGCAAAAAACTAGATAATAGGGAACACTTTATGATTCCGGAGCTAAGACTTTGTCAAAATATGTTGGACAAAAAATGATAAATCCCAAATGTAATATTGACTCCATCCGAGTCAAAATACTTTTTAAATTCAAGCGAAAATAATGTTCTATCACATTATTCTTTTGTAATTATTAAAAGATGAATCATTATCTCATATATCACAATTTCTAGATAAATACTTGTTTACAAATGAATCACTTTATGATCCTCATTACGGGTTACAAGTAAGAAGAGATTGAACACTTTAATGACGATGATGTAGAGATAATAAATAAAGATTAAAAAAATTAGTAAATAGAGAAATTTTTAGATTCATTTTGGAATCATGTTATATTTTCATATTGTTTGTAGCACAAACTATATAATTGTGATTTTTGAATTTTGTCAAAAAGTTATTAGATGATTACATATTCGTTTAATTGTATCACATAAATTTGTTATTATTGGGTACTGCATTCGATAAACTAGAATGGGGTTTCATCAGAGATACCCTCATCTACTTCAATTTTCCAGCACCTTTGATTTATTTTATTACGTCATGCATCACTTTATCCACAATCTCCATACTCATCAACGGTGCCCCCACTCCTTTTTTCAGTCCCACTAGAGGAATCCACCAAGTGGATCCCTATCACCTTATTTATTCATTTTATGCCTAGAAATGTTAACTAGGAAAATACACTCAAAAGTTGAGTACGGGCTATGGCATCCCATAAATCTCTCTACACACGGACCACAGCTATCACACTCATTCTTTGCCGATGATATCACTTTCATCTCTAAATTGACTACCAAGAGTGTGCACTCTCTAATCGATACACTCACACTCTTTACTAATGCTACAGGCCAGACTATTAATTACATGTCACAACCCAGATTTCCCACCCTCGGGAGTCGTGATGGCGCCTACTAATAGGAGCTAGGCAAGCCAACTTATTTAACACTTCTCTCAACATCATTAACAGTATAAAGAAGAACGAGGCAATTAATATAAAAGCGGAAGTCTCGAAACATAAATAACTGAAACCACGTGCGGAAATTCAAATACACCTCTACCCAGATCTGGTGTCACTAACTCACGAGCTTCTACTGAATGCTAAATACAAAGTCTGAATAAGAATACAGTACTGTCTGATCCGATACAAGGGAAATCAAACGAAAGACAGAGATAAGAGAGACTCCGGGCCATGCGGATGCCAGCAAGCTACCTCGGAAATCTCCGGACTGAAGTAAGCTCCCAACGCTCCTACTGCTGACCAAAGGCTCCTGCTCCGGTACTATGATCTATGCAAAAGCACAGAAGTGTAGCATCAGCACAACCAACCCCATGTGCTGAAGTGCCTGGCCTAACCCCGGCGAAGTAGTGACGAGGCTAGACAGGACCTACCAAAAACAACTTGTGCAGATATATATATATATATATACAAAGGCAACAGAAATAACAACAGAGAATATCAACTAAAAAGGGGAAGGGGGCATGCTCGGGGAAAATACAGCGAATACAGATCAACGGATATAATGACGAAACTACCTCAATACCATAGCTCATATATAAGTGGTCGGCGCGCCACACGATCCCATTTCTTAATTCATAAGTGGACGGCGTGCCACACGATCCCAATTCATAATATATATAAGTGGACGGCGTGCCACACGATCCCATATTATAGAATATATATAAGTGGACGGCGTGCCACACGATGCCATATTATAGTTCAAAATATCTGGCTTTGTAATGAAGGCCCCATTAGGGGAATTCGACAACATAACACTTTAACCCGGCAAGGGTACAACTAACAGCCCAAATATCCCGGTAAGGGAGAGTACATAATAATAGTCTACACGTCCCGGCAAGGGAATAATCACAACACATCCTCTTTTAAATCACTTCTTTCTCAACTATCACATTCTTGTTCGAGCCAACGCTCCAAAATATACCAATCACAATTCTTCCTCAACCGTTCACATTATATGAAATTTATCCTTTCTAAATTGTGGAAAGTACGGTGTATACGGCATGGTGACGGTTGTCTATGCACCGGAGTCTAGCATGATCGTGAGTCTTAATTTCTGTTTATATCGAATGATGTGACACAACTTCCTTGTTTAATT